CAAACACTTTTAAAAATTTTCTGTTTAGGGTCGCCTGGGTGGCTCAGTAGGTTAAGCCTCTGCCTTTGGCTCAGGTCATGATCTCAGGGTCCTGGGATCAAGCCCCGCATCAGGCTCTCTGCTCAGCAGGAAGCCTGCCCCCCCACTACCTTCCTGCTTCTCTGCCTTCTTGTGATCTCTCTCTAGGTCAAATTAAAAAAATAAATCTTTAAAAAAATTTTTCTATGAATAATTTCTGGAGGCCACCTGTGCAATTTTTAAGAGAAAGTCAGATACTTCTCCATTCAGCTCTAACATGTGTGAATAGCCCAAAGCCCTGTTCAGGCTCACAAGAATAAAAAAGTAAAAATTGTTTTTTGAAATCTAAGAATTAACAGATATAGCAAAAACTGTTAAGCCACTACTGTAGTTACTTTTTATTGCCACTATAATGTGCCTGATGACAACAGATTGAATAAAATCTTAGAAAATTTTCTCAACTCTGCAGTGAAACAGCTAATGATCCAGGTCTTATAAAAGCTGCAGTGCAACTTCTAGGCCTTAATAACATCCATTACTTTATTAATTCTATTCACATGATTTTATCAGTGTGGGGACAAGAAGGAGGTAAGTGACTTGTCCAGGGCACAGACTTTAAGGAGACACTCATTCTAATGTTGCAGCAAGTACCAAAGATGAACTTGCTTAACTTTGCTATTGGTAGCCAATATATAAACAAATGAACATAGCCATAAAATGAGTTTTAATAAATCTGAAATACTTAAAATTCAGGCCAGAAAAGGCAAATCCGTAGAAACAAAAATGAGATTAGTGGGTGCAAAGACATTGAGGAAAGGGCAGCTGAAAATTATCAATAATCATGGGGTTTCTTGTTGAGGTGATTGAAATATTTTGGAATTATGTAGTGGTGATGGTTGCACAACATTGTAAAAATATATTTTTAAAATTAACCCTCTGGTTTATACTCATTAAAACAACTAAACAGAAGAAAAAATAAAATAAAATTCAGACAATATATGTTTACAAATCTTAAAGAGAATTAAATTAGAAATCAACAGCAGAAACTTCAGGGAAATCTCAAAATATTTGGAAATTAAATTTTTAAAATAAACTACTCAAAGAAGCAATGACACACACATATACACACATATCAAAACTTATTAAATGTAGCTAAAACTATGATTATAAGGAAATACATAGTTCTAAATTCCTACTTTAAAAAAGAAAAAAGTCTTGAGGGGTGTCTAGGTGTCTCAATGTTTAAGCATCTGCCTTTAACTCAGGTCATGATCTCAGGGTCCTGGGATTGAGCCCCACATTGGGCTCCCTGCTCATTGGGGAGGCCATTTCTCCCTCTCCCTCTGCCTCTCCAAGGCTTGTTCTCTCTCTCTCTGTCTCCCTCTCTCAAATAAATAAATATAATCTTTAAAAATGAAAAAAAAAGTCTCAAATCAATATTCTCAGCTTCTACCTTAAATAACTAGAAAAAGAACATAAACTGGACCACAAACACACAAAAGAAAGGTAATGATTAGTGGTAAAATCACTAAAACATGTGAGAAAAATCAATGAAACCAAACATTGATATTTGAGAAAAATAAAATGAATATATCCTCAGTTGGAGTAACTGAGAAAAAATAAGAGGAGGCACACATCAATAAAACCAGTGTTTAAAGTGGGCACATTATTAGTGACCATTCAAAATAAATGGATTATAAGGAAATACTGTGAACACCATTATACAAACAGATTAGACTACTTAAACTAAACAGACAATTTTAAAAAGACAAAAATTACTAAAAATATCTCAAGAAGAAATAGAAAACCTGTATAGACCTAGCAAATAAGGAAGGGATTAGTACAAGTCCTTACAAACCATTCACAAAGAAAAGGAGGAAAATAAGTAAATGAATACTTTTTAACTCATTTTATGATGCTGGTATTATTCTCATACTAAAACCAGGAAAAGACAGCACAAGACAAGAAAACTAAAAACAAATATCATTTATGAAATAAATTGAATATCCTCAACAAAATAAGAGTACATCCAATCCAGTAACATACTATTTTTTGTGCTCTGACAAAATGCAGTCTTTCCCTGAAAGGCAAAATTGGTTTAACATCTGAGAGATGAATAAATTTGATACTATGTTACTAAAAAAAAAAAAAAAAAAAAAAAAGAACAAACCATACAATACTCTCAATAGATAGAAAAACCATTTGAAAAAATGTAACACACATTTATTATAAAAATTCAAACAAATTAGAGAACAAATCTCTCTCAACCTGATAAAAAATATTTGTGACAATTGTCCAGTTAATATCATACTGATAATGTCAAACTGACAAATTTTCCTTTTAGAATGAAAACAAAAGTGATGTCCACTTTCATCATTTGTAGTTAACATTGTACAGGATGTTCCAGACTGTCTGATGGGGAGACAAAAGAACATACAGGTTGAAAAGAAAGAAGTGAAACTATCTTTATTAACATGTGACAATATCTCATATGTAGAAAATCCTAAGGAATCCAAAAAAAAAAAAAAAAAAAAGACTACCGGACTAATTAGTTTATGAAGTTTGCAGAATACAAGATAACATACTAAAGTTAATTGCATTTCTATATACTAGCAACAAAATCTACAAAATCAAAATAAGAAGATATTTCCTTTACAATAATATCAAAAGAATAAATGCTTTGGTACAAATTTAGTTAATTAAATGCAAGACTTTAACTGAAAACTCCACAACTTTGCTGAGAAAGTTGAAAGAAAACCTAAACAAATGCAGAGATATTTCATATTCATTGATTAGAAATTCATATGTTAATATGACAATTATTCCCAATTTTATCCATTGACTCGTTAAAATATTTATCAACTTTCCACCAGGGTTTTGTGTAGAAATTGACAAATTCATACAAAATTTTATGTGAAAGTGCAAAAGCAAAAACCAACTACAACAAAAAAAGAAAAAAATTGGATGACTGCCTAATTTCAAAACTTGCTATCAAACTCCATTTATGTAGATAGTGTGTTAGTGCATATGGATAAATAAATATGCCAGTGGGACAGAACTGAGAATCAGAAGAAAACTATTATGTTTATGGCCAGTTGATTTCTGAAGTAGTAAAACAGGCAATTAAATGGATAAAGGGCAATCTCTAAAAAAATTACTGGAGCAATTATATTTCAACATTAATTAAAAATAAAAATTTATATGAAATAACTCATTGTCTCACACCATATTAAAACAAAACACAAAAAATAAAAAAATGAAATTGTTTAGAGCTTTAAATCTAAGAACTAAAATCATAAACGTCTGATAAAACATAAGAGAAAATTTTTATTACCTTTGGCTAGACAAAGAGTTCTTATGTGACACCAAAAGCATGATCTATTAAAGAAAACATTACAAGTTGTATTTAATGAAACTAAAATTATGTGTAATTTGGTCTTAAAACTTTCCTATCAAAAAGTCACTAACTAAGAACATGAAAAGAAAAGTCGCAGCAAGAAAAGGACAAAGTATTTGTGGTCACGTTTTTCATGATAAAATTATATTCAGAATATACAAAAATCACTTGTTGCTCAATATTAAGAAAATAAATAACACAATGTTTACAGTCTACATGTACCAGAAGAAATGGCATTAGAGAAGATATACAAATGTTTATACAAATAAATGTATGAGGAGGTACTCAAAATTGTTACTCTTATAGAAATGCAAATTGAAACCACAGGTGGTATGATTTCACACCCCTAGAACAACTATAATAAAGAAGATAGACAATATCAAATGTTGGCAAGAATCGGTAGAGGCAGGATATCTTGTACACTGCTAATGTGAATGTAAGCTGGCACAGCCGCTTTGTAAAACAGTTTGGCAGTTTCTTAAGAAGTTACTCAGCTATTTACCATACACTTCACAAAGAAATTTTTATAAGAGATATGAAAATATATATCCACCCAAATACTTGCTCATGAATTCATTTCATAAAAGTTAGTTGCCAAGAGAGTAGATCTTAAAAGTTCTCATCACAAGAAAAAAATTGTAACTATGTGTGGTTATGAATCTTAACTAGACTTATAGTGGTGATCATCATATATATATATATATGTATATACATATATACACACACACACACACATACACACATATATATATATATCATTATGTTGTACACTTAAAACTAATGTAATGTTGGGGACGCCTGTGTGGCTCAGTTGGTTAAGCCGCTGCCTTCGGCTTGGGTCATGATCCCAACATCCTGGGATAGAGTCCCACATCGGGCTCTTTGCTCGGCGGGGAGCCTGCTACTCCCTCTGCCTCTGCTGCTACTCTGTCTGCCTGTGCTGGTGCTCTCTCGCTCTCTCTCTCTCTCTGACAAATAAATAAAATCTTTAAAAAACAAAAAAACAACGTAATGTTGGCTTCAGAGGGGAATTCTACCAAATTAAAAAAAAATAATAATATAATGTTATACGTCACTTATCGCTCAGTAAAAAAATGTTAAAAAGTGGAAACAACCCAAATGTTTACCAAATGATGAACGAATAAACAAAGTGTATACATAGTGAATTACATGTAACATACTGATACAAGATACAACATGACAAATCCTCAAGAACTTTATCTCAAGCAAAAGAAACCAAGCACAAGAAACAACATATTGTACCATTCCATTTATGTGAAATGCACAAAGAAACAAATCTACAGAGACAGAAAAATTAATGGTGCCTGTGGCTGGACACAGAGTGACAATTAAAAGAGCTCTTCTTTGGGTAATGGAAATATGCTAAAACTGAATAGTGCTGATGGTCAAATATCTCTACACATTTGCAAAAGTTACAGAATTATAGACTCGTAATGGATAAATTTTATGATACATAAATTATGCCATGCTAAATCTTTTTTTTTTAATAAATTCTGAAGACCTTCTCTGTAATGAGTTTTGCCATTCTATGTTCATATTTTCTTTGTGTGTGTGATCCTTTAAGATCCGTCCTGTGAGGAGTCAATGGAATGTTATATTTCTCAGTCTTGTTGGAAAGGGAATATTTGCCAAAATAAAAGCTCTGCTTACATTTGTGAATGCCCAGAAGGATTTTTTGATGAAAACTGTGAAACTGATATGTACAAATGTTCATCAATGCCATGTCAGAATGATGCAGACAACATTCATATTCCAAATGTAAGTCTGAATCTAAGAAAGTGATTTATATATATTTACTATTGCCAAACTATCTGAAAAGTACAAATATAATTCAAGTTTTCATTAACGTATTATAATTTCAAAATCAGAAATATCAGAGAAGATACTTCATTTGTTGGTTTTCATGTTTTCCCATTTTAAATACAAACCCCAATTACAAAATAACTTCAGTTTCATTTTTTGTTCTTCTGCTGAAATTCTCCCTTATAAACAATGTAATTTTGTAAAAATTCATTTTTAATTATTTTTAATTTTGTTAGTTATTTGACACTTTTATATTTTGACATTTGAATTTAACATTTACATAAATAAGATTAGGAAATAATGTAAAAGTTTCCACAACTTACTATCTTTTTATTTTAGTAAGATTCATTTTACATTTGTATTATAAATTCATATTAATATCTTAAAGTCTTCCTAACTCACATGTCTTATGGTTGATACTGGCTATCAGCTAGGCCCTCAACTGGAATTATCAATCCAGAACCCTAAATATAACTTCTCTGTAAGGCCTAGGTTTCCTCACATCATTGTGGCTGGGTTCTGAGCGCAAGCATCCCAAGATAATTAGACAGACATTATATGGCCTTTTAAACAGGGCTTTGAAAATCACAGAGCATCCCTTTCTCAATAGTCACAGCCTGCTTTTTACATTCAAGGTGGTGGGAAGGATAGTTCCTAATTCTCAGAGGAGTGTTGAATTCAGGTGGTAGGAAAAGTGTGTGAGATGGGGACATTGTGATATTTTGGAAAACAGATTCTTTCACATTGTTGTACAGGGAATTTCTACATGCTTATAAAAATAGCTTCCATCCCTCTACAAGTAAGAATCTTTTTATTACTTTTGACGTATCCAAAAACTTTTGTAAAAAATACTTTCTGATCTTTCTTAGGGTACTACGTACATCTGTTCAGCAATATTTACAGGCAAGCTTTGTAAGAGACAACTTCAAATACCACACGAGTCATTTCCTTGCAAGAATAATACTGCATGTATGAAATATGGGAAGGATTATCATTGCAGGTATAATTTATTACTTTCCTATTTTTAAACAAATAATACATGAGTTTTAAAGCCATGTGGACAAAAATAAAAGGAGGTTCTGTTTTAAGCTTAAATTTTATTTAACAGCATCTAATATTCTACTTCAAGTTGAAGTAGAAACATTTAATGTATTTGAGTTAAAAAAAAAAACTAAGAAATCCTCAGGCATAATTTGGACAAAGAGTTGTAAATCATATTTTGTTTCATAATGAAGATATTTAGGATAACTGAATAATAATAAAGGTTTATAAAGAAGAGATAAGTATGTCTACTATACACAGAAAATGCTATTATTATCTTTTGAGAGTATAGAGTAAACCGTTTATTCCTTCAATTTGCAGACCTCGGCTGACAGTTTTTTTAGAGTCTTTAGGCAGGATTTTAGGAAATATTGCTTTATTTAAATAAGGATTTGCTAAAAGTTACCCATTTGTAAATGACAGAAGTGACCTAGTTATCTGGGCCTATAATTTTAGTCCATTTCAAATAGCTTTATAGATAGCTACTCACACCATTAGGAAGTACAATTTGTACTCTTCACACTTGCTTGACTTTTATCTGGCTGCTTAAAGTAAGTTCTGTTGGGCATTACTGAAGGGCAGTAAACAGCCTAAAAATGTTAGAATATTCATAAAAGCTGAAAATTATTAGCTGTGGTACAGGAAAGCCTTGAATATACTGAAAAGAAACAGAATATGCATACATATCACAGATGTACCAAGGACAGTATTTTTATCAGTTTCAAAAGGAAATTAATTTCTAAGTTTAAAAAAACACTAAGCTTTTAAAATGTGACATTTTCAAAAGAAAATGAGGAGAAGCTTCGTCATTATAACAAAATTTTGGAAGTTCTAACCAGTCCAGGCAAATGTGTATATGCATTCAATCTTATATTAATTTATCAATAAATTCAATTGTTATCCCTTTAAAAATACTGACTTTATAATTCATAACTTCTAGTTCTGAGCCTTATAGTGCAAATATATTTGTAAATATACATAGAAAAATGATCAACATTTAAAAATATAGGTAGCATTATGTAAATATATAAATATATATTCACATATTTATTTTATTTTTATAAAGTATGATGATTTTATTGACCCTTATTTTTAGCATTATTCTGATGGTCTGGAAGGCTTTGTTTTAAATTTCATTATCAGCACGAAAACTAGATAACCAGAGGCATTATTGCCAACTCCCTGTTGATTGTTATGTTATGAATTAATAGATTTAATTTTAAAATGATGACGTTCAATCTAGAATGCTTTGTTAAGCTTGTGCTAGATAGGATGGATGTTGTAAAAATTCCAGTTAGGTTTCTCTAGGATGGATGGAATATGTCACATAGGTAAGCTAGTGTGAGAAGTTTGAATTAAACTTACTTATGAAATTAATGTGAACCCCATTACATGGGTTCTAATTGTTGAAATGACCACATTGTTTAAGAATTTGGCAAACATTGTGCTCATCTCCAATCTACTTAACTAAAAACATGGTACCCTCTTCTGGTTAAATTAGACCGCTGATTAACAGAAGGTAAAATATAAGGAAAGTGAAAAGAGAGTAAACACAGAACCTCCACAAGGCAAAAATAACAAAGTCCAATTTGAATGATGAGTGAAAACCTAAGCCTCAGAAATCAATGAGTATCATACAGATGTGGAACACAGGAGCAGAATTTCCAGCACCCAGCTTCCCACCCACTAAACTCATCCCTGACAGTAAAAATCATTTCCAACTCTGACTCAAATGAAGTGATAGAGACATAATCAATATAAATTAATAAAGCATGAAGTTGAAAAGGTGACCAAAAAACAAACAAACAAAAAATTAGTCTTGGAGTCTCTTTTTCTTGTCCCAAAGGAAATTAAGGGAATGACTGAAAATAAAGAGAAAAATGAAAGCCCTTCAATTTAAATACCTAGAGTTGTAATTCAATAGTCTGGGGTAGGGATTCCACAAATGTGCATTTCTAACAAATTCTCAAGTGATACTGATGTTGCTGATCTGGAGACCATACTTAAGAGTTACTGGTTAAGATGAGGTGAGCTCAAACAGAATTGATGCAGAAATCCTCCTACATTTCTTTCCCTCCTACATCCATACACTTCAACCCAAGCTTTTGCTCTTATATTCTGAATTTGGGAGAAAAAAAAAAAAAGTGGGGTTGAGAAGAGGTAAAATTAGGTGAAGAGAATAGAATACTGATGATGGTATCAACTTCTCTATTTAAATATGTGGACTGGATCTAAATTCCTATGATGAGATGGGAGAGGAACTGAAACAAAATTACTTCCTTGAGAAATAGTGTAAACCATTAGTTATGAGAATTTATTTGGTACCTAAGTGACCACAGAAACACAGTGTCAGAAAGGAGTTAATTTTTACCACTGTTTATAAACTAGCATTTCCCTTAACACCTACACTATTGAAACCTTTAGGTGTAAGAGCAGTAAGTAACGGTAGTGAGCCATCATAAATGGCATTACTGGAAGCAATTTGAATGCAAGTAGAATTTTTTGGAAAAAAGAAAATGGATAATTGATGTCTTGGTGTCATCAGATATGTAGAACCTAATTTTGGTAATTTTCTGAAATTACTGAGGAATTTTTGACTGAGGTGTTAATACTTTGGCTAAAATTTTTATAATTTATTTATTTTGGGGGCTAAAGTATTTTTTAAAGATTTCATTTTTTTGTGTGAGAGAAAAAAATGAGACAAAGGGACAAAGGGAGAGGGAGAATCGGACTCCCTGCTGAGGAAGGACATTGACGTTGGGTGATCTCAGGACCCTGGGATCAAAACCTGAGCTGAGGAGAGAAACTTAAATGATTGAGTCACTCTGGTGCCCCTTGGCTAAAATTTTTAAAATAAAGTATAGATTGTGGGATACAGTGATGGCAGAAAATGAAAGAAATTATTTAGAAGAATGCTTGAGGAGTTTCTCTGAATACTTGAAATCAGCTATGGCTTTGCCCAAAAAAGGAATGTTCCACTCAGAGTAATCTAGAAATACTGAATGAAAAAATTAAAGGATTTGAGAAGGACTAAGGGAAGCCAACAATGTTTGATTAATCATCCTGAGTTTAGAAACAGTGGGGAGTTATTTCCTTTCCATACTATTGAAAGGGAAAGCTAAGATTGCAGTTAGTAGAAGTGGGAGAGAAGTGTAAGATAGAACATTCTGACATGAATTATGAACTTATTTCAATAAACAGTTACTATGAACCTACAACCTAGTGGTGATGGAGTAGGGGAAATAAATACCTGACCTTATTCTCTTCTCACCTCTGACCTGCTGATTGTGCAGCACAGTAGTAAGACCCAAATAGAAGTCAAGGAAAAGTGAAGGCGGGGCGTGGAAATCAGAGTGGGAGACAACCCATTAGAGACTGTGGACTCCGAGAAACAAACAGGTTTTTAGAGGGAAGGGGCTGGGAGGATGGGTAGGCGTAGTGATGGGTATTAAGAAAGGCATATATTGCATGGAGCACTGGGTGTTATATGTAAACCATGAATCTTGGAACACTACATCCAAAACTAATGATGACTAACTAAGTATGGTGACTAACATAACAAAATTAAAAAAAAAAAAAGTCACAGGTCAGCATTCTGAAATACAGTATGGGATGGACAAGGATGAAAAGAAAGCATCTGGGAGGAGACTTCCAGTACTCAAAGCAATGTACAAGAGATTAAAATAATGAATTGCAAATTATAAGACAATAGAGAGGATTATGTTTAGGGAAACAGGAGATAGAGGTGTGTTTGGAGGGGGTGAAAGGGGATGAGATCTCAGAGATTAAGACAGATTGGATGTCTACCTATCTGTGGGCTCCTGAGAGGCAGATCCTTATCTACCCTTTAGGAGGCAGCAGTGACTCTTAATATAATTACAGTGTGATAACAAGAGGAAGCTGCATGCACATGAGTTTTGAATTTCTTGGCTTTCAAATATACAAGGACTCAGAAGCTCCTCTGGTATAGGACCAGAAGACTGGCATAACCTTTAGAGTCAGCACTGTCTAGACAATAAGTTCATTTGTAGTGAATATTATGGTATGGAAACTTTTACCTATTTCCAGCACCAGGACTTGACACAGAAATGGGAGAACAGAAACCAGAGAATTGTCTCCCACTCTTCTCTATCATCATTGCCCTCTGTCTACAAATTGAAAAAAAATTTTTAAAAGCCCTTTTTTGTTAGCCACAGGGAATGAATTGTTTTAAAGTAAGTTTGACACGTTTTTTGCCCTTTGATAATTTAAATAACCATTTGCCAGAAAGTCTGCACTTGGGTGAAACTAAACCTCCTCCTGGAGATTTTAAAGGAATGGGAAACAGTCAATCTCTACAGTGACACTGACGCTATTTTCTTGAAGCATGTAGCTGAGCTATAGGAGGCCATCTTGCCACCATAAGAAAATCTAGCAAGGGGATAGAGCCAAAAAAATACCAATAAGTGTAGGACTGAAAAGATTTTAAAAAGCCAAAATCTGGGTAAACCAAATTCCATTCAATCACAGATTTTAAATAGTTAACTTTTTGTACTATTCATAGTTTATTTTTTACTTAATTATTTCCTACCCAAAAAAAAATATTCCTATAATACAGTTGACTATTTCATCGACTATAATTTTGAATTACTGATAAAAGTCTATTCTCAGGTGCCTGGGGGGCTCAGTCAGTTAAGTGTCTGCCTTGGGCTCAGGTCATGATCTCAGGGTTCTGGGATGGAGCCCCAAATTGGTCTCACTGCCCAGCAGGGAACCTGCTTCTCCCCCTCTCCTCCCTGCTCTTCTCTCTCGCTATGTCTCTCTCAAATAAATAAATAAATAAAATCTAAAAAAAAAAGAAAAGTCCATTCTTCTATACCATATTCAAGAGAATATCTGTGTTTTAATCATTTCTGTACCTGGAACCCTTTCTAATGTAACACATAGAACATTTCCTTAAAAAACTATTTAAGTCATTAT